GCACTACACAATAGGCGTTCACTGTATTTTAGAGCCTTTCTTCTGCGATCCGTAAAAACGTTCAACATGACTGGGTTCGTATCGGTCATACCACGTCGGGGACAATCGTTCAGAGTCCGTACAAAAGTTGCAAGTGAACATACAACAGCTGAAAACGGGCCTATCGTACGGGGTACTAGCTCACACATGCTACTCTAGGGTTCGACCGTTCCGTTTTACGAGAATTAGTCAAACCAAAAGCGTCAGCCGACATACCACTGCATGTTTACTGTGTCGGTCGAAGTGCAAATGCGACGCGCTCCTACTTTGATATTGAAAATAAGCCTCCTAGATCGGGCATGCTTTTACATGACAAAACGAAATTAACGAATATGTACACACGAGAATTCTCCAACTGTTTACATGCAGCCGACATTATTAACAACAGAATGGAGATGTTACGTTCTTCAACTGTGAACGGTTCTGGTCACAGGGACGTTCGAAAAGGCTTCCGCAAGCCGAAACTCGACAAACTTAAATTTGTACATTATGCGGTGTACAAAACTGTAGTTTCTTCATTTTACAGCAAAACTTTCAATTGAGTGTATGTCAATTGACCGTCATAACTGCTGCGTGTTTTTTCAGTTCCCAATAAAATAACAACGACAATTTTCCCCAGCACAGATTAAACCAATGCTAATAAGACTCTATTAAATTGTTCGTTATTTGAGAAACCAAAATGATGTTACGTATTTTTCGTCGTAGCCGAGAGAAGCCTCGCTCGAGTTGTGTTATTGTTTCATGTTCCTGCTGAATAAAATCACGAAATCACATAACACAGCCATTACGGGTTTTTACATAATCAGCAGAATATTGCACGTCCGATCCCGTCGCCCCGATCCCGTCGCCCCGATCAAGTTCTGCGAGCGCGCTCCTGTGACAAGGCTAGGCGAGAAAGAACTACACGGCCATCCAGCGTCTTACCTGGTCATACGTTATTCGAACCCATTCAGTTCGACCGTCGATTTTCGAGTCGATATAGCTCTTCGCTTACGATGAAAAACACTTTTCTTTTTTTTTATTATTTCTTTTTTTCTTTAGCACGCTATACGACGGAACAGTTCGTTGTGGTCGTCGTACATTTGTTATCCACGAGTGAATCTACGAGTTTGCCCCTGCTGCCGTCGTTTCGGGCGATATTTGCTCGAAGTAGAAGAATAAATACGGTAAGAGTTGTGCGTAAACGGTTGAAATCAACGAGCCTTTACCTAGGTTCGGCTTTTTTCTTCTTTGTTGAAACTTCCATTGCGTCGGCTCGTTTTAACTGGTGGATGATGGTTTCTCTCGTCTAATAATGCAATCAACTGAGGATCTCTCAGACACTCGTGTCTAACAACTGCCTCTTGCTGATCATCTCGGTAGTCTTGCGTACGGCCGTGCTAACGGCAACACCTCTTTGTTCGTGGTCACTAATTGGCGGGTCATTTTTTGCGCGGCCTGAATAGGCCAATGAATGAAAATCAGTTGACAGACGGTCAACACGATATTTCGTATTCGGCCGTGTATTTTTTTATTGCTCATCTACTGAACTATTTGTTGCTACTCTTTTATAT